TTTTCTTCTCGTCCTTTCAACTACGTAACTATATCACGTATATATCATCTGACAAGTTGTCAAAATGATGCTTATAGATGCCGAAGAGAAGAGAATATATAATGATCACGAGTGCGATGCAGACATAAAAATGGATCCAACCAAAACGGAAAAAAAGAATATAACCTTTTTTCTTCAAAAATCTGCGAAGAAAGAACGACGAATGTATATTTACACGATGACCTATTTGGCGTTGGATGAAAGAAAATAAAAATCGAGAGAGAGAGAGAAAGAGAGAGAACGTGTGACTGTTTGTATGTGTGGCGCTTTGTTTTTCCATCTAGAGGAGAGAACACGCATCATTATTACTGTACCATCATCATCAGAAACCAAAAACTAATTTATTGATACATATATATATATACATAGAATAGGATTTTATTAAACAATTAATTCAAGTCTCTTAAAAACTTCTCTCTTCCAATAGTTCATATATCTTTCTTATTTCTCAATTATTTGAAAAACTCACTCTCTCTCGCTCTCTCAACGACGTTCATCACAAATCTCTCCGTTATTATTTTTTGTTAAAAGTAAGTATATATGTGATTTGTGTCAAAAAAAAAATTAGATCACACATAACGGTGTTTATCAATCGACCTTTGGTTAGATTGAATTTGGACATACAGAATGAGCAACATAAATCAGATTACTTATGATCATGACTGATAAAACGATAGTGAGAGATATACATTTGTTGATGTTCTTGATTGTTTTGTTATCTGTTAAATTTGTTGAAACATAGCATATTGTTTTCTACATTAGTATAAGCACAGTCTACAAAAATAACATTCTTCTTTTGTTCTATTTTATTTTAACAATACACAATAGCAACATTTCAACATTCATTTTTTCTCGAAAAAAATCAGCAAGAAAGAGGAGCGTTATAAAATTTTTTTTTTGAAGAAATTTAAGAAGAACTTGACCCTGAGAGTCCCTCTTGTATACAGTACGCTGTTCTTCAAACAGATAAAAATAAGAATAAAAGTGTTAGTAGTAAATGAGACAAATTGTATATGCTATCCTAGTGTCATCGATAAATATATCTTTTTTAAAAACTTGATTTTTGTTGAAGAACCCTACATTCAAAGTGGGTACACTTTTCAATCATAATCAGTGAACAACTAGAGAAATTTGAAAATCACGCCCACAATATTCACGAGAAGCAATTTTTCTGAATGAACTGACTGATTCGGCTAGGTTTTCACATTGTAAAAGAAAAGTCTCTGAAGAACTACTCTTTTCAATTAATTTTTGTATTGTGGAGAAATTATCTTTTGTAAATCAAGTCCATCTTTCTCTATTTCATATATATATAGACTTGTCAATTTTTACCTAGTCAAATCTAAAATTATTGATGAACAACCACAAAGAACGCTAGTAATACTGATAAAAGTGATCTCATAACTGTATAAAAAAAGCTGTTAGAAATATTCTAAAAGTGAATTCTAGCACATCATGGTTTTTTTTCTCTAGAAAATTGTAATCGAAGGTCGAGAAATAATATTAATGGGTCTATTTAACGCACATACACATAATAAAGAGAAGAGAAATACAAAAGATGGTGAGAGATGATAGGAAAGGCATAGTTATAATTCTAGTGGGAAAGTAATTTTGAATAATGGTCAAAGAAAATAAGAATTTTTTCGTAAATTTTGTATGAATAATGTCGAATGTTCTTTTTTTCTATTCAAAACCGCTATTACACTAACAAAGTTAAAAGAAATATTTACAAAGTCGTTTGTTTTATTCACGAGCACCTGTAATTAATGAAAGAAAAAAAAAACGTGAAGGACACGTGAGACATTTTTTACTAAACAATTCGTTCTTTTCTGATGAAAAATGTGTAGTTTCCTTGATTTTTTTGCATCGTTTTAATTAATTTTTATTGTTATATCTCGACAAACGTTTATTGAGAATCAAAGAGAAACTGATTACACGAGAATATGGGACGTAACTTATTTTTACTTTGTAACATAATAATTCATTTTTAATATCGCTTTTCATTACTGTTAATGACGTTGACCCGGACAGTCAAAGTCTTTTCTTTGATCGATAAACGAACATAGGAAAATCTTGTGTAGAATATACATTTTTGTTTTGACGTGGGATATACATATTTTCTCGATTTTATTCTATACGTTTATCCTATTGATTATCGTCTTCGTTTTGTCGCATTATACATTTTCATATCGGTAAAGATATCAGATGCTCGTTCGGTGATTTGATTATACCTCTAACAAAGATTAGGTTTTGTTTTTATCACATATGGTATTTTATCAGTATTAAGTAGTACTTTCTGTTTCTAATATAAGATATATGGTGCTCTATATGCGTAGCTCTATTTTGATAATGTCAATGGGTTTGTCTATTTTTCTAAAAAACATATGGCTAATCATTCAGGTGACTTATAGACGTTTGCACGCACATACCATTCCTCAAAAAGGTTGGCCTGAAACAAGTATGATGATATCTTATTTTTTGACAAGTCTAAGGTACAAAAAAGAAATAGTATAAACGCTCGGAAAACATTGTGGGCATTAGAGGCTATATTTAACTTTTCTTTCCATACTACTTAGATTGATAACTCTGTATTGTCTACCATTCTTAAACTATGAGTAGTAAATAAGTTTTTCTATTATATGATGAATTGACAGTTATCGTTTTCTCTGGCTTAACAGGTTTTTTTTGTAATACCATTTCGATAGTCGCCTGTTGAAAAAAAATGCGATGGTAGTTGTGAAGCTAATAGGATGTACTAAGAAATTTTCATGGAGACGAACACTTGCTTAAGGTTATCATCAATATTGAACGTAATGTCGATTTCTGAAACCGATGTACACATATTTACACTGATGAATATGAGTAATCTAGTCTTCGTTTATCTTGTTTTGAGCACTACTATTATTAGAAATATTTCGATACACGTCTACTCATTTTATTGCTGATGTAATTTCACAATTATGTCTGATGCAACTCCTTGCGCAGTATATAAAATTGTGAAAGAATCATTGAATATGATGTTCATTAAGTTTTTCTATATAGGGTAAGATGCGTTATCAATTCTTAGTCAGAAATGAATAAGAGAAAATACATCAATAATCTTTGTATTTAAAGTAGTCAAAATTGATTTCTTTTTCTTTATATACACTCACAGGGTATTGTTTGTAAATCTCAGATCATCTGCCAAACAACAAAAAAAGAAAATCGTTTTTATTATGAAAAAGACCGTACACAAACACAATGAAAGTAATAATTTTCATCTGTTGTGTTGTTGTTATTACATTTTAGCTTTCTTTTTATAAGAGAAAAATAAATGACTTTTATCATCATTAAGTCGATATGCCGCTTATCAGTATGGCTTATACGAGATATATGAAGAAAAATGAGTTTGATGTTTTGTCAGTTGTTTTGTCACCACTCATAAGTTAAGTTCTATTCAAAATCTAGAAAGTTTTGCGAGTTAAGTTATGTCAAGATTCTCAAAAGTACATGTTTTATTCTCTATTATCTTGACACCGATATTGTGGAGTAAATGACCTATACTAAAGAATAATCCGGTTGTGTCTAAAAGTTTATGTTGCCGAAAAACATGTTTTCAAAAAGAAATGAAAATTTTTTCTCTCTACTTGAGACCGGATAGAGGAACGAGCCTAGATGACGACTTGTTTGTGTAAAGCTTTTAATGTCAATAATTAGATAAATGTTGGAAAACATTTTATTTTCACAACAACCGTTACTTTACACTTCTTACCATGTTTTTCTCGATCACTTAAACAACTTTTTTGCATTGCAGTCTTATATACTTCTTTTATTCATAGTTAACAGACTCGTTTGTTGTACAAACGTTAAGTACCGAAAATATAAAAATTCAACAGGTTTTTATTTTTGTATTTTTATACATGATTGAATAGAGCGCATCGAGCTGATTCATAAAATATGTGTTTTAATGTTTGAAAAAATTATTTTCATGTCGAAAAATTGAAAATACTTGAAGGATCTAAATTTTCGAAAAACGCTTCGATTTCAAAAAATTGAAACTTTTTTCTTTTTCGTCCTTCATACATTTTGAAAATATTTTTTTCAGATTCAAAATTAAAAACTGAGTATGAATCTGATGTTTGATCGAGGTTGACGTCACCTCGATCAAATATCAGATTCATACTCAGTTTTTAATTTTGAATCTGAAAAAAATATTTTTTCAAAATGTATGAAGAACGGAAGAGAAAAAAGTTTGAGTTTTTTAAAACCGAAACGTTTTTCGAAAATTTAGATCCTTCAAGTATTTTCAATTTTTCGACATGAAAATTATTTTTTCAAACATTAAAACACGTATTTTCTGAATCAGTGCTCTATTCTCGATGCGCTCTTTTCAATCATGTAAAAAAATGCAAAAATAAAAACTTGCTGAATTCTTTTCAAATTTCGATCATCTTATACTTTTCGAAGTAGTGCAACTTCATTTCTTTCATGTGTTTGTAAATAACTTATATCATACTCTCTAGTTTAACTTGGAAAGATTGATTCTACTGAACCTGTTTTATGTATTTTCTATTGTCTTTTATCTAAGAAACGCAATAATTTGTCTGCGTCACATATGAAATTTATTTCTTTTTAAATATACTAAGTTGTAAGATAATACTTGTTAATTTCGCTTTAGAATGATAAGACACATATGGACAGAGATGCGAAGTAATTTATTTTACTCTCTGTTATTTTTTTTTTCTTTCTAAAGAGTCATATGATCAGAGCAACTGTCAGAATTTAAAAGATCAATTTTTTTTAAAATACAGACAGTGGAAAAGTATGAAGACAAATGGATAAAATTTGCTTTCTTGTAATATTATAAAAAGATAGCGGACTGTCTAGTTGAATTTTTTATTGTTTTCACTATTTGGATTTAGTTATTATTACCTTTTATCATATATTTTCATCTTCTCTCTTAATTAGAACACAAAAGCAAAATGTCTGCTGCTGTTATGAAACAATCATCATCATCAGTTCTAAATTCAAATAAAAAATCATCATTTAATTCAAATCAAATGACAGAAAGTTGGATTGTCATCGATGAACAAATTGAATCCGATTATGTTCTAATTGATAATGAACAACAACACGAACATGAACATTTTGATTTAATTACACAACAAGAATCTCATACCGGTGAAGAAATAAAAGAACAACAAGAAAAACAAATTATCGAACTACAACAAAAAATTCAAGATTCTCAAGATGTTGTTGTTAAAGAAAAACGAAAAATATCACCAACAAATATATTACAACAAACTTCAACAGCAACAATTAATGGTGCGGGTAATAGTAAAAAACGGAAATGGAAATTATTAGCACAATTTTCTTCACAAGGAATTAAAAATGCAGCACATCATCTAGGTATGTTCAAATTAGAAAATATAAATATTAGTTAAAATTTTTGCATTTTTCCTCTCAGTAATCATATGAAAATTTCTTTTTCTCAACTATTACAGAACTAAATATCCGTATTCGAGATATTTACATTGCTACACCGATGAGAAATTATCTCTATCTGATAGGATAATTTTGTCTTCAAATCAGTTGCATTAGGCGTTGTGCTTTGAATAGAAAGCAGGTAAATAGGAGGAGGTGGAAGGTAAACAATTGTGTAAAGAATCACCAATTTTTTTTTGTAAAATATTTTAAGGTTAGCAATTTGATTTTTTATTCTTTATTTTTGCATTTGCAATCCAAAATATAATATTGTAAGATAGAAGCAGTGATCAACTTTCAAACTAGTTAGAAAGTTAGTATGCCTTGATTAAGTGTCTGTCTATAGAGGGCTGAAGCAATTCGTCGAACTAATCTTCTAATCATAGCTATAACTATGACCGTCCTCAGACATTATTAACTGCATAGAAACTATTGAGCCATTCAAAGCTGACTGTTCACACCAGGAATGAGATGCATTTCTTCATCGTAATAGTTAACAAATACCTGACAATTGCCTGAATTTTATTTAGTGGACGGGATGCACTGATAATCACTTGATTGTTAGTTTCAAAACTGTGTGATAAAAAATAATTTATCTCGATTTCTATAAAGAAAATTAGAATAGAATTGAAATTTTATTGATTCTGAAAATGTTTATATTTTAATCAATTATTATCTACAATTAACTTCTATTTTTTTTATTTAGATAATTATATCGTCGATTCAAATCAACAATTATTTGATAAACGTGATTTATTAAAAAAATTATGTGGAGCATAGAAATCAATTTAACTCAAACTAATAAAACCCCTTCATATAGATTAGATGATGATGATGATGATGATGATGATAATGATGCACGTTTGTTTTAGTGATGCCATTCTGTATATAGACTATGTGTAAATAGAGATATTTATAATAAGAACAAAATAGAATAACATTGTTGTTTATAGTCATTAAAAAGAAAAAAAAAAAAGATAATTTGCTTTTACTTCTAAAACTTTAAACTATTTTCGTTGCGATTTTTTATATTTTTTTTTTTCGGCTTTTTTTCTTTTTAAATATTCCTATTCTATAGTTGAGTACAACTGTTTATGTGTATATAGAGCATCAACATCAGATACTTGTATGTGTGTTTGTATGTGTATAAAATATATCAGAGTCTATGTGTAATCGTGACTATTTGTGTATACTATTTTCTGTACGCGTATTTTTTGACTTTTTTTGTATAATGTGTTGTCGTTTTTGTTGTTTTTTTTTTTGTTCTAAGGAAACTACTTGTATTATTTCTGTAGAGTTTTTTTTTTTGTCGTAAGAGAGGTATTTAAGAAAAAAAGAGTATTTGGGTAAGAGAGAAAATTTTCTATTATGCTATTATACTAAGTTATAATAAATAAAAAAATAAGTGTTAGTTAGAGAAAGAAGGGAAACAGAAATTCTACATGGCAATATAAAGACAATTGATAATAACAAAAGACAGACATTTTTGTTATAAGTTGTTACTATTCAAAAACATAACTGAAATAGAAAATTCGTTATAAATTAGATTAAATTATTAATGTATTCTAATGAGAAGACAAAAAAAGTTCTGTGATTATTATGGCTAGAAATAATTTGTTCTTTGATTTTCCAGTTCTATCATGTTCACGATATAGACACGTTTTGAATAGAGATGAAATAATTGATGGTCAATCTTTTTCTAAAAATCTATTTGTAAACATACTCATATTGTGTAGTTTGTTTCAAAAATTAGTCTTATGATACTTTTCATAAAAGTAATTAATTCGTTATTTGTTTTCGTTGTTTAAGTTCTGAATTTTTACGACATCTGAGATTATTTGGATTTGTCTGTTTCACAATCAATAGCAAAAGTTAATAAAGTATAGACTCTTTTGGAGTAAGTAACAGTAGTAATTCGTGCTTCGAAAACGTGACATTGAGCTTGAACAATGTATTCTAATCGAGTTTTAACAAAGAAGTATGTTTAGGAGAAGCCTCTGTAATCGCTTGAAAACATAGCAGACTCTCAGGTATGCGACCATCCAGATCTTTATACATCTACTGAATAATGAAACTAAAACTGTCTGTTTGAAATTGGATGATCGACGACTGTTAAAAAGATCACTTCATTTGATCATTACTTACCACTACGTCCAAAAATACCTTGCAATATCGAGAGTCGATTTAAAAAACATGTAAAAGTCGTCCCGTATTTTCATCATCTTTTCCAATGAATTTCACCCAAGAAATTTTTTTCCAGATCGACAAAACAAGTGCACAGACTACATATCATGTGTTTTTTCGAAAGACTGCATATTCTGAAAAGAGCACTCACTTGACCATGAAAACTTAGAAGTTCTATAACGGAACAAATAATATATTAGAGCCCGAAACGGATCAGGAAAATACGGTTCCATTATCTCATTATCATGTATCTTTTTGAATCCGGATGCAACCCAGTATCTGACTTCAACTCCTTTCAGTTTCCTTTTGATTCTATGCATTTCACAGTTCGCAAGTATGATTACTTCCTATACAATAGTTCATAAACAAAAGTTCGAATATTTCTGACACCTATGAGTAGTCACTATTTACGTTTTAGAGTGTTTTTTGTAGGAGAAAACAGTGATCGTTGGTTTTTTTTCATTCTAGCTCTTACTTTGTATTTTTGATGGCACAACGTTATACAAATCGTTTAGCCAAAGAAAAATCATCCTATTTACAACAGCACGCAAATAATCCGGTTGATTGGTGCGTCAATAAAATTATTTTTTTCCATTTATTCGTTTTATTTTTACAATAAAGCTTGACACATCTCCAAGATTTTAATTTTTCAGACTTTTTTGCGCAGGTATGCTTGGGGAAATGAAGCATTTAAAAAGGCGAAAGATGAGAATAAACCAATATTTTTATCAAGTAAGCTTGATTCTTTAAAAATAATCTAACATTGAGAAAGATTTTTTCGTATTCTAGTCGGATATTCGACGTGTCACTGGTGTCATGTAAATGATTTTGATCCCTTTATCTCATATAAAATGATATTTCCCATTATTTTTTCAGGTTATGGAACATGAGTCATTTGAAAATCCCGAAATAGCTGATATTTTAAACAAATATTTTGTTTCCATAAAAGTTGATAGAGAAGAACGACCAGATGTTGATCGAGTGTATATGACATATCTTCAAGTAAACTTTCACTCATATTTGAAGAAATTGTATATTTTTCTTTGTTTTCTTGTTTTAGGCCACACAAGAAGGAGGAGGATGGCCACTCTCTTGTTTTCTAACGTCAAAATTACAACCGTTTTTTGCTGGTACTTATTTTCCCCCCGATACACGATACTATGGACGACCGGGTTTCAAACAATTATTAACATCAATTAAAGATACAGTATGTTAAATTGTTTTACATTTCTTAATGATTTAAATTGTTATTGTCAATTTAGTGGGATAAAAAGCGTGATGAAATTGAAAAGGGTAGCAGTGGGACAATAAATCAATTGAATGAAGCATTGTCAGCAACATCGATTGCATCAAATTTACCCTCAACTAATTGTATTCTAACATGTTTTAAGTATTTTGCCAATGATTTTGATGATTTACATGCAGGATTTGGCACAAAACCCAAATTTCCACAACCTGGTAAACACTCAAATGGTTATCTTATAAATATTAATTCTATTTGCTGTTTTGTTATAGTTAATTTAACATTTTTATTAACATGTGCTTCGTTGAGTCATCAAAAAGGCGAAGATCCAAGTATAGCACAATTAGCCGTTGATATGGTGAAAACTACACTCAAACAAATGTCATTAGGTGGTATTAACGATCAATTAGGCAAAGGTTTTCATCGTTACTCAACCGATGAAAAATGGCACGTTCCACATTTTGGTCTGCTTTAATAAACAGCGTAATTATAATAGAATTAGTGAATAATTTTCTCATTTATAGAAAAAATGTTGTATGATAATGCACAATTGGCAACATCTTATGCTGATACCTATGCTGTATGTAGAAAAAGTCTCTGAGACGATCGAGAGTCATAACGATGTTGTTTTGTTGCATTAGATAACAAAAGATGAATTGCATGCTCAAACACTACGCGATATTTTATTTTATGTTGAACATTATTTACGGCATGAACAAGGTGGTTTTTATTCAGCTGAAGATGCCGATTCGTTACCAACAAAAGAAGCAAAGAAGAAAAAAGAAGGTAATCATATTTCTCTGGGTAATCAAATTTCTCTATCAGAGAAATAATACTGATTCTTATGAATAAACTAAATTTGTTTAACGCATTTTGCTTTCAAGGTGCATTTTATGCATGGCATTATGATGATCTTCAAAAATTATTATCAGAAAAAATATCTGATCATACCCATGCTGACGTATTTTGTCACTATTTTCAATGTAAGAAAAATGGAAATGTTGATCCAATGCAAGTAAGCTGTTTATAAATTTCTTCTTCCTTGTCTTACGTATCTCTTATTTCAGGATCCTCATGATGAGTTAAAACATCAGAATATTTTAATAACAAATGGTGATACAGAAGCAACTGCTAAACATTTTAATATAACTAAAGCAGAAGTCGAACAAATATTAGACCAATCAAAACAAATTTTATTGAAACATCGTGAACAACGTCCAAGACCCCATCGTGATGAAAAAATCTTAGCAGCATGGCAAGTTATTCGTTAATTCAAAACAATTTGCCGTTATAATCAATATTTTGTCATCCAAACTTTTACATTTTTTTCAATGTTTTAGGAATGGCTTAATGATATCCGGTTTTGCCAGAGCGGGTGCTGTGCTACAAGAACAAAAATATACGAAAATAGCCGAACAAGCACTCGGTTTTATACGACAAAATATGTTTAAAAATGATCGATTATTGAGAGCATGTTATATTGGAGATAATAACAAAGTTGAATACACGTAAATTTACTTATATCCATAGCAAAGTATTAGAATGAAACAGATTTTAAATTACATATATGCAGTAGACTGTATTATGTATAGTAAAAGCCAATAGGTTAAGCCTCTTTGTAGTTTTGGTTTGCTGCATCGCTCGATAAAACTCAAATTCTAGAGAACCAAGTGTCCGAATGGAATCAAAAATAATTTTCTGTCAACATTGCTGACTTTGACTGTTACGTGTCTTTAGTAATTTGCACACAGTTATGCAAAAAATTTAATGAGAAGTTCAGAGATGTTTCTATTCTTCGAGTAATGTTTATTCGACACGACCACATTGTTCACAATACCTTTATGATTGATTACAGAGGCTCAGCTTGCTATAGTTTGAATTTTACAGAGCGCTGATTTTCATGCACATTAGGCTCTGATTCAAAACTCGTTGATCTAATCAAATTCTTTTTCAGTTTTCTTTTGGTTATCAGAGCGAAAAAGTCAAAACTCTAAAGTCACTTAAAGTTTTAGCTCTCACTTTGTGTATGTGAAGAGAAATTGTTCTCAATTTCATATCTAACAAAAGTCAATTATCTAATCATTTTGGGTATTCTTTTAGTTCATCGTTAGTAAATGGATTTCTTGAAGATTATTCTTATGTGATTCAATCAGCTATTGATTTATATGAAACGAATTTCGATTCAGAAATATTAGAATTTGCGTATAAATTACAAATGCAACAAAACGATCATTTTTGGGATAAGGAAAAACTTCGTTATTTGAGTACAGATGGAAAGGATGAATCAATTATATTGCGTTTGTCCGAAGGTATGTTTGATCATTATAGTTATTTGTACAGATTATTGATCTGTCGGATAGAATTCGGCAAAACTGGTCCACGTCCATAAGCGTATTAATAAATGCGAGTCTGAAATAAAATCTATGTCCTCGTATGGTTCTATATGGAAAACAGACCCAGTTTGAGGAAATAAAGTTTATCAGTGCAGATCCTGGGTCTAAAGGGCAACTCCTCCATTCAAACATGATGGACTAAGGTGCAATGCGAAAAAAAAGCCCTTTGGTGAGGTTTAGGACACATGAAAATGCCCTAAGTGTACCACAGTCAACGTGACAACAGAAAGCAGGGCAGTGCCATGTATCCTAAACCTGACCAAAGGGCACTTTCTTTTCGCAGTGTGAAGCTGAACGGAATCTATGTTCCGACTAGCTAGTCCACGTTAACTTATACGCGTATACAATGCATATTTAGTATTGTCCGTGGGTTCGTGTACGTCCGCAAGTGTTAGGAGTATGAGAGAGGGAGGAGGGTAAAATTTTCAAATTTCCAGTAATTTCTTCGTGTACAAACTTTTACTCGTTGTTCTTCCTCTTTCAGAGGAATTCATAGGAAGCGTTACATAAAACTTTCTTATCGCAATAATAAAGCATCAGTTTTCTATATACTCTGTATTAATGTACTTATTTATCATGTTCTATGATAAACCGTCGATTACTTTGATATATATATAGCCATTGTCGATCAAACGTGTGACTTTGTTAACTGAAATTTTAGATCATGATGGAGCTGAACCATCACCAAATTCTATTTCAACATTAAATCTTATTCGTTTGAATCAATATTTTAATGATCAAACATTTTCATCGTATATAACAAACATTTTTAAATCTTACGGTAAACGTTTAGAAAAAGCACCTATGGTAATGCCAGCTTTGATTCGTGCCTATGATATATATACGTACGGTTTGAATGAAATTATTATTTTATCTCCATCAGATGATCAACTTTCTACAAATGAATTTATTCGTTTAATTCAAACAAGTTACTTACCGAACACAATTGTTCTATACTTAAATTCTGATAATAATTCATTATTCAAATACAATCAAGTATCAAAAGATTTATTCAAAAATTATGATAAAAAGAAAATAAACGTACATATATGTAAGAATTTTCAATGTGAATTACCAATTACAACGGTAGAAGAATTTGAAAAGAAATTAAAACCATATAAACGTTGAATTCATACTTTAATGTTTATTATATATACAAGCAAATTTTCATAGTTATTTATGTTTGAAAAAAGCATATGATATTAAAATTAAGTAGAAGACGTTGACATTCAGAAAGACTTTTAAGCCAACTGGAATTTCAAAAATAAATAAAAGATAAAAATGATTATTCTAATTATTCAGTCAGCTATAATTGCAAGTAGCAGTAGACTTAATGATTATTCATGAAATTTTTACATTGTAAAATTCAAGCAAGGGTCTAACGGGCGGAGATTTACCATCAATTATAGAAAAAGAATGAGATATGTGAATTTTTAGTTCACTTCTATCATAAATTTTTCAATCGATATTAAACGTTGATTTTCACCTAAAGTCTTGTAACATTTGTAATTTTTTATTGGATGTATCGAATGTCAAATCATTTTGATTTATTAATAAAATTGAATTTTACAGCATTCACCATAGTTAACTGATTCATCCCTATTATTATACAATATTCATCGAATTTTATTTCTTCTAGTTTATCTTACTTATTCTTAAATTATCTTGTTTTTTATTTAAAAAATATTGTACGACTTTTTAGGTAAAATCTGTGGTCACGTTATTTATTTATGAGTTTAATTTTCGATAACGACGCTTATCTATTTTCTTCTCATGATTTTTTCACAGAAAAATTTATTTTTTTAATATCAAATATAGCGTAATGTAGTAAATCAATATATGATTCTACCTATTGAACAATTTTTGGACAGTGAACTAACTAATGTTGTTAAAAACTTTTTCTTTCGTATATATTTTTAATGGAAACTGTTATATTGAAAACAATAAAAAACAATTTTTAGAAAAATTTTTCCGAAATGGTTCATAGTTCTCTTATTTCCTTTTTCATGATCGAAAATAACAAGGTGATTTGAACCTACTATTACACTTTACATTTAATTTTGATAGTTTGATAGCATTTATCAATATCGTTTTCTGGCCACTATGATCTTCATACTTTTCAACCATACTACGAGGATCATCTATCTTTTCATTTATTTTTATTTTTAATTAAAAACTTTCTCAGAGTTAATTTAAATAACAAAAAATAGTTCCAAGACTTAGTTATTTATTCGAATAATCTCTATGTATGTTTTATATTTGATGTATAAATATGTTCGCTTTTACCACTCTTCTTCTCCATTCTATCTGTCGAAATAATATTTCTACTCTATCAAAGTCAATTGAATGACAGTGACGATGTGCATATTGCGCAATATGCGAACTTTCTTTGCCATTCTTCACATCTCATTTATGTTCATCAATTTTAGTCTCTTTTTCTGTCGATATTTCTCCTACATAAACACGATTACAATTTTGACATGGAATTTTATAAATCAATTTCTTTTGTTTTTTTAGTTAGATTTTGGCCTCTTTACACTAGAAGGAAAATATTTATAAGTAGTAAGTTTTTTTCGAAAATTAAAGTTTACTTTTACTTGCGACAGAATTTTCCTACGAACTTTTTTTACACGTTCGGCAAATATCATTGTTTCACTTCCATAATGTGCCATTGTAAGATCGCTGGTTTTTTGTGTATTATTAGCTATGGATTGTTGTTGAGAACTTAAATTTTTGTCTTTTCGTTATTGTTTCACCTTCACGTATACACTACACTATATAGAAACGTTTCTATATAGTGGGGAATATTCATTCACACATGAACAAGAAAAACGTGATAAAAGTTGGTATAACTAAGACTATATTGCTTGACGATGATCGGAGACGACGGTTGGAAATCTTATAACTGTTTGTTGTTATTTAAACTAAATTAAGTCTGATAGTGTGCGTACCTCTGTATAACAGAGATGGGATCGGTTCGGTTCGATTTTATGACGATTTGTGAAAAAAGTTTTATATACTTTTACTATAAAAATATTTTAAAATCTGTTATGTATAACGTAAATTCTTACTGACACAGTTTAGACAGGCAAAATTATCCGATGCTTTTCTTTGTTTTTATTCTTTTGTTTTTGTAGAGCAACTGTTTTTGGTGTTAACAAAGGGCGTCTGTTTATTTGTAAAACTGAAATAGACGCAATTGATAAGAGAGAAAATGGGCATTGAAACACAAAAACGATAATGAGAAATTGTTCAGCTGATGTAGAAAAAATATTTTTTGTTTTTCACCTTGAGTTTATTTTGAAAAAAATGAACAGTTCAGCTCAGTTCGATTTCAGAACATTTCGGTTCAGTCTGACTTTGTTTGAGAAAGTTCGGTTTATTTCAGTCCAGTTTCAAAAAACCACGAACCAATTCCATCTCTCATACATACACACTTTAATCTCGATTAATCACAGGGCCAGATTATACGGGGGAGGTGTATACACCCAGAGATGGGCGAGTACACGTATTTCTGAGTACGAGTATTTTCTGAAAAGTACTCGAGTAATTTTTGAAATACTCGTTAAAAAAAGTCACGAGTAGAAGTACTAGGAATTTTGTATTTGAGTATACCACAGTACGAGTACATAATCGTACTCGCCGATCTCTGCACACACCCCCAAAAATAAAAAATTTTCTTTTCCTCCCAGCGAAAATTAAAATTTTTTTCGTTATTTTTGGTCACACAGCAAAAAAAACTGTACTCCCCCTCCCCCCAAAGTTGACTTGCTATTTACGGTCCTGATTAATCATCCCACTCCAGATCAGAACTTACGAGAATAGGCTAGGAGGAAAAAGCACTACAAGGCAAATGTACTTCCTTCTGGAATGTGCTTTTTATCCCTTGAGTATAGGCCAGTGAACTCATAATGAGCTTAGTTTAACATAACTCATGAGTAACTGCAGATAAAGTACGACGAAATTATCCTAGTAGTATTTGATGATTTTTGAAATTGTTTTAGAACGCTTGTAATTTCTTTCTCCTTAAGTGAATCATAATTTAATTTACTTTTACACTCTTTTAAAAATTCAGAAATATTTTTAGTTTTCAGTACAGGAGATAAGAAATAGAACAGAACTTGAATAAGACAATAAGACGTACATATATCTTTCAGCCGCAAAAATATGTACGTTTCAATAAAGGAGAGAACTACAGTCGTAATAGGTTAAGGTACTGATCGGTGATTGTTAGTTTAATACGCACGGCAATCCAAATTGTTTCTAACATAGATCGTCACGGACAGTCCGTTGTCACTTGCCTGATCGGGCAATATTGCCTGAACAGGCAACTTGACCGTTCGGGCAAGGTCTGATGTCGGGAACCATCAGTCGTCTAATGGACGGGAAGTGTTCATTCTACTCCTCGTGCATTTCATCGTATATTAAAGTTAAATGTTCAACCTTCTTTCTCTTTTATGACAAAGACGAATAGCAAACATAACTCAATTTTGCTCAATTTACCTTCCCCGATTTGATAATATTGCTCGTTCAGGCCAGATTAACCAGATTGGCGCCATGGCTTTGATTTATGCGCTAATCCGTTGAAAAAAAAAATGTGAAAATCTTACCGAAACGGGTAAGATACTACTTGCTCGATCGGACTAAAATGAGGCTTCTTGCCTGATCGGGCAAGGCATATTGCCCGTTCCGGTAGTAAACCCCTAGAAGATGCTTCTTCCCCACTCTGGCAAAATAAGCACCTCTCCACTGTGGGTAAGCATCATTTTACGCCGTTTTTGACGCTCTTTCAAGTGGAATAAGTCTCTTTATGCGTCATCGCTTTTATTTTTGCGCTGATACGATGTGAGAAAAAAATGTGAAAATCTGGCCGAAAGGAGCAAGTTACTCCTCGCCCGATAAAGCCATATTGCCTCTTCGGGCAATATATCTTGCCCGATTGGGCCAGAAAACGTGACAACGGACTGACGGACATTAAAGATGAACCCGGTAACAGCGGTGTAGCCGGCAGATCGGCTGGCCCGGTCCGTTCCGGTGTAAAAGTTTAGACCGACCGGTCTCCACCGGTCTTTTGCCGTTCTAGAAAGACTTTCTGACCGACCGGTGATTGACTAGTTTTTGGCAGGTTTTGAAATTTTTAGAAATTTTCTCTAAAAAGAGAGTTTTTCTGCCCTCTTGTCGGTCTAGAAAATCTTTGAAAACCGGCCGGCTTTCTGCCGTTTTTTCACCGGTCTAAACCAATTTTTAGACCGACCGGTCCAGCCTCTTATTTTTAGACCGGTTGCTCTGCCCGGTATGTAGCCAGTCGCTAAATATAAATTTTCATTTATTATAGTAACGGTATGAATCACCCTAGTAAAGAAATTATACTTAATTTACGAACAAAATAATGATATTTGGCAATATAAAACTATTTTATAACTAGGCAGAAAGTGATACATTTAAATATTGGATTTGAATACGAGATAAACAAAATTAAAGAAAATGAATATATTTTATGTTATAATCCAATAGAACTTTTTATTTTCTCATAATAATTTGTCTTGGTTAAAGTTCGAATTTAAACAACAAACAAACTATTAATAATCAACCAGATAGAAATTTGGTTAACAACTGATTGTTGACGTTCAAACAATTTAGTCAAGTTTTTTTTATTTTTTCTACCGTTTTTGATGGATTTATCTCGTAATTATTATTTTTGAAATTAATTTCTTTTGTATCGATTAACTCTTTTTCATATCGGATCAGTTGTAACATAAAATAATTATTAGGACCAATAATTGGACGTTTATCAACTAGAAATCGATATGCCTGTTCCAATGTGTTATGATGATATTTCATTAGATAGGCTAAAACAATTGTTGCTGATCGAGATATACCGGCAGCACAATTCACCAACACTTTTTCATTCTTATGAAAATATGAATGTAATAATTGATTTGTCTGATCAAAATGTTGTCGAATATCTTGATCTAATGAATCTATAATATAGAAAATATTAAAACATTCATCATATCAACTTTGAAAAGATAATATAATTTAAATGTCGATTAAAATGAATAAATGATTATAAAAAATTGTTTACCTAATATTCTTATTTGTGTACAATTGTATTTATTTAAAACAAACTGATTTAATTTCCAATCACTAACATTAAGTATATGACGAATATCGAGTAAATTTAATAATTTTAAATTTGATGCTTGATGAATTGTACCAAGAAATAAAAAATTATCCAAAACAATTGATGGTTCCATAAGTGATTCAGTAAATGTTCGCCTATAATTCCAATAGACTGACGAACGATATAGTTCGAGACGATGAATATAGGCATGTTCATCCGTTGTAGGAATTTTACTGTTAATTATTTGAACATGATTATTACAAACCACACGATTAGATATAAGACGATTTTCAATGATAAATAATTTACGTATATAGTGAACAAAAGATTTTAATTTTAATTTGATCCATCGAACTAAATTATAAATAGAATTAAACATTATAAATAATAAAACAAAATTTATTGCCAAATACGATAGAAAATATTTTATTATTTTCATTGAAAAACACATTGCGTATGTTTGAGTATGTATATGAATATGTATTCCTTTTTATTTGTATACGATGAGAAATCATGAGTACATAGGAGACGGATGACTTGACTAATATTCTTTATCTATCTGGCTAAAAAAGTTGTCATTTGCTTTTTTTTCTTCATATAAACAACAGTCGGACTGAACACTTTCATCATGTTCAGTGTGTAACACTATGTTTCAGACATAATCATACGATCAATGGGACTACTATTTATTATTGCAGATCTTTTTATCCATAAACTTGAGACACATTAGCATTTTGCTAGCAAAAATCTGAACGATTGTCGTCATACTGTTACTCGCATGTACAATATAAACGACGATTACATTTTTTTTGAGTTAAAATCGAGATACTGACACCACTGATTGCAAAAGAAAATAGGCAAATAGATAAAAAATGTTTTTGAAAAAAATGAATGTATTGTAACGGTTTGGACTTAACTGAGATATAAATTATATTCTCAATTGAGACACAATCCATATTTTAATTAAGTATCTCAGTTGAGAAATCAATATTTCTGCGAAAATATTCGTTTCTCAACTGAGATACAATTTTGAAACGTGATATTGTGCAAGAATGCAGTGTACTAGGTCTATTATTCAATAGTGAATGAAATTAGGTATATAATGTGTCTCTATTGACTATCTGAGAAATTATTGTCACATTACATGGTCAAATGTTGTGTATTTTCATGTCCATGGATACTACTTAACACTTATCGTAATATTTATCGTTTTTCTAAAACTACTGACCAATAACAAGCATTAACTGTACAAATGCATCTTTCACTTCCATATTTATTCGTACTTTGGTGACGAAAAAGATGTTCTTGAAACAATATCGAAGGAGCGCCTCTTTGAGTTTCTTTTCGAACAAAATCCATTTCTTTTTGAAATATGTCATATCACTGTTTCAGATAAACGGAATATCGGCAGCTGGAATTTCGGCATTGCCGTTTTTGCTCAATATTTGTTTTAAGTCCCTGTAATTTCGACAATTGTGGAAAATCCATTTTTGCTGTGGTACATTTTTAAATTTTAAGAAATTGAAAAAGAAGAAGTTCATATGATGATAGAAATGGAATTTCTACGATATCAAACATTTTGCCGAGAAACATGAATATACTACACAGAATCAGTGAACTGCAGTCTTCTTCTAATAATTCACACATGAAAATAAAATGACAAATAAGACTTTTCTTTTTTCTTTTTCTAGAAAATTTTCATTTTTAGTTAAACATGGTACATTATCGATCTCAAAAAGTACCCTATGGGGGCAGGGGCAATTTTCAAAAAATTTCTTGCCAGACTGGCCTTCTAATGTGAGGGGGGGGGGGGGGGTGTGGCCCGATTATATGGAAAAAAAATTTGGGGTTGCCCCGGGGGGTGAGGGGGGTGGACAGAGGGTGTTGGCGGGTGGCCNCCCCCCCCCCCCCCCCCCCCCCCCCCCCCCCCCCGCCCCCCCCCCCGCCGCGCCCGATGACGATTAAATTGAAAAGAAAATTAGGCTTTCCCCGTCTGTCTTTCTCTCTGTACATCAGTGTTTAGGCTGTTGAACATACACTTTCTTTTTGATTTTCACACTGACATGTAGACTTTTAAAGAGATATTGTTTTTATTTATGTTGTACAACGATGTATACGCAAGCAAACTGATATTTTGTTTACTTTATTTTTGTGATAAAGAATATAGTTCCAATAAATTGGAAAAAGAAAATCTCGATCCCGAACCCGTTCGTAAGCTTGACTCCGATCCCGTCCCGTAAATATTTGTCCTCCTATCCCAATCCAGCAGGGCTCCAGTGGAATGTCTACTTTTAAACAAGACGTCTCAACGAGCCTTCATTCAAAAGATACGAATTTATGTCATAGTGCACCGAAGAGATCGACTAGATAAAGATTAAAGCTTAATACTATTTGTGCAGCATATGTTGCTCTATTCTGTGTATCATAAACATAAATTACAAAATATTAGTGATTGAAAATTGCGTATAGTCAAAAGAACAAAGAAGAGATGAAGGTACGTTTGTTACGCGATCGTGGTCGCCAAATTGTGGACAACAAAAGTATAACCGTTTCTTAAAAGTTTGCTTCGTGCGGAGATATTATATTATTTATTTTGCATTATTATTTTTTGAATACTAACCGGTCTGTATGATCTAGTTTTACGAGATCTATTCACTAACATACTTAATAAATTAATTTTAACATTCAAAATTTAAAAAAAAAGGCTGTATTAAAATACATTTTGGTAAGTGCTTCTGGAAAACGCGTAGAAAACCGTACTCACGTCATATATGAAAATCGAAAACTTCTACGTTTGTTCAGTGTTTGATTCTCTATCGAATGATGTCTCTAAAACGCTTACAGCATTTACCGGTGCTGAGTTATTTAAACTTTAAAATAAGTGAAATTTTTAACAATTAAAATTTTAATTCGAAATTTTAGCTTTACGCAGAAGACTTGACAGTTTTTCAAAATGTAGCCCATTCTGATCTAAATACAATGGTCATTACAAAAATCTTGTAAAACAACAGCATTTTTCTGTATCCAAGTATGTCCAAAACCATAGTTTTCTAGAAAACCTACTTTCACGCGTTTTGAAAAAAACCTAAGTGAGCCAAATGAAATAGCATAGTTCAAAACCTGAGTTTTTAACTCAATAGGATACCATGTGTAGAAACTGGCCTAGGCCTACTTTTTGATGTAACACTCTTATTAGATGAATTGTCTAATGTTAAATTATCTCATTAACAGGTTTATACTGATAGCAATTTCAATTCCAAAAACGATTGTAAGACTATTGTGACCACCATTGGAGTATATCCTTTAGTATTGATACAAAAGACAAAGACCGTACAAATTATCTGTGAGAAAACCAACGATCGGCCAGTTCTAACTATTCGAGATGTTGGAACAGTAATTTTCCAACCCGTTTTAGATACTTCTTATCATTTCCAAGATATGTATGTCATTCGAACAGTATATCTCATCGTCATATTCTTGTATAGGTCAACAGTTCTATGAATAATAATATAGTCAGTTAATACCTAAAACAAGGTTAACTGTGGGACGATGTGAGATTAACGTAATTGTAGGAATGTTTTATATGATAAAAAGGATTGAATAACAATAACAAATACATTATTAACTTCAATAACAATATAGATAAAGATTGAAGCTTAATACTACTTGCATTTATTTCTCTTCTCTGTGGATTTGTATTAAGTTAAAGTGTAAAATTGGTTATTGAAAACTGTCTAAAGTTCAAAAAATATTGAATGAAAATTTGATTATAACTCATAAAACTCATCATGATAATAAAGGAAAAAGTATGTTAAATAGCAAGAGGCTGATAAGTTCCAGTTAGCATAGCGGAAGAAGGAACAATACCCCGCATTGCGGCTACCGGGCTTTACGTTAACATAATTTTGATATAGGATGCTGTCGAATGGCAGTTTTAATAGCCAATATCTTCCATGCAGTTGACAGGCTTCTGATATAGTCATCAACCACAGCTCTGGACAGAAGACTATCCTGGTGCAGAGTACTTATGCCAATAGCGGACTTGCAACAAGTATTGTTTCCTAAATTCTGAAATAACTATCTAGTCAGTTTCAATATCCTCAGGGTCCTGTGGCTTTTCGACATGACTCATCCACTGGGATACTTAGTTTTTTTATTGGCCAATGGTTACTCAGATCTGGATATTCACTCCTTTTTTAATACTCTCACTCATTAGTTTCTTTTATAACTCGGTGATTATGCGGAAGTTAAGGTTTAAATTACTTGTGTAAACTCATAATAACATTCTCTAGCTGTTCCTAGGAAGTGACCGATATATACTGTATAGATCAGATTTTATGTTCAAAAGTCGATCCCAGATTGGTCGATATTTTAAAAATTGTATATCTCAAAAACTAAACAACATTAGTGGATGGTTGCTTCACCAGATTAAAAGCAGTTTAAATTCTACAAACGCAATAGGGTGACACTGTTTGAACTCTCATGTAGAAAAAGTTTTAAGAAGTTTCAAAGAAATACAGCCAAAAAGCAAGGAAATGCACTCGTATTTGCAGTTTTTGCCATCAACCGTCCATTTTTTTGCAAGACTAATGTCATATTTAGAATCAGCAGTGAATTGACTGATATATGTTTTAAGTTTTGGGGAGAACTCTGACTTTTTTCGAACTTTTTGGCCAAAA